GGGTAAAGCACATTGTTTTGTACAAGGTCCAAGGTCCTCCCTACCATATCTAGGTTGAGCAAGTTAATTCATCCAAAGACAACAGGTTCCCAAAAAGCCAATACAAACAGTAGGGATAAATCCTGGTGCCACTGCTAGTGGCCCCTCAAACTACCCTAGCCATGCAACTGTCAACCACATTGAGAAGGACTAGTTTGAGCCTATACTTGTTCCTTCCCAGTCTGGCTGATGCTGGTGAGTTCCCGTTAGCTCATGTAGACTGTTTCAGTGGGTGTCCCCGTCATGGTCTTGACCACTTTGCTCATATTGTCACTCCTCCCACTCTTCAACTGGACTTTGGGAGCTCAGTCTAGTACTCTGATGAGGGTCTCTACCTCTGTTTCCATCAGTTGCTGGATGAAAGTTCTATAGTGATATTTAAGATAATCATCAATCTGACTACAGGTCAAGACCAATTCAAGCACACTCCCTTCTATTGCTTAGGGTCTTAGCTGGGGTCATCCTTGTGGATTCCTGGAAATGTCTCTAGAGTCAGGTTACTTGCTAACATCATAATGGATCCCTCAATTAAGATATCTCTTTCCTTACTCTAATCTCTGTCCTTCCTCCATCTCGTCTATCCCATTCCCTCAAGTTCTCCTCATCCTTCCCCTTTTCCTCTCCTCTTCGCCCTCACCTGTATGTTCCCAATTTTGTTAGGTAATCTTGTCTATTTTGACTTTCCAGATGGAACTATAAATGTTTTTCTTAGGGTTCACCTTATTACTTAGCTACTCTAGGATCTTGAACTATATTAAGCTAGTATCCACTTATGAGTGAGTACATACCGTATTCATCTTTTTTGGTCTGGGTTACCTCACTCAGGATGGTGTTTTCTAGTTCCATCAATTTGCGTGCAAAATTCAAGATGTCATTGCAATATATGACTGAGTAACAGTCTAATGTGTAAATGTGCCACATTTTCTTTATCCATTCTTTGATTGAGAGGCATCTAGGTTGTTTCCAGGTTCTGGTTATTACAAATAATGCTGCTATGAGCACAGTTAAACAAATGTTTTTGCAGGATGATTGAACATCTTTTCTGTATATGCCCAAGAGTGTTATTTATAGATCCTGAGGGAGGGTGATTCCTAATTTTCTGAGAAACCACCATACTGATTTCTGAAGTGGTTGCACAAGTTTGCATTCCCACCAGCAATGGAGAAGTGTTTCCCTTACTTCATATCCTCTCCAGCATGAGCTATCATTGGTGGTTTTGATCTTAGCCTTTCTGACAAGTGTAAGATGGTATCTCAGAGTTGTTGATTTGCATTTCCCTGATGCCTAAGGATGTTGAACATTTTCTTTCAACCATTTGAGATTCTTCTGTTGAGAATTCTCTGGTTAGTTCTGTAACCCAATTTTTAATTGGGTTATTTGGAATTTTAATGTCTACTTTCTTGAATTCTTTATATATTTTGGAGATCAGTCCTCTGTTTGATGTGGGGTTGGTGAAGATCTTTTCCCATTCAGTAGGCTGTCTTTGTGTCTTATTGACTGTGTCCTTTGCTTTATAGAAGTATCTCAATTTCAGATTTTCCCATTTGTTTATTGTTTCTCTCAGTGTCTGTGCTACTGGAGTTATATTAAGAAGTGATCTCCTGTGCCCATACATTGAAGGCTACTTCTCACTTTCTCTTCTATCAGGTTTAGTTTGGTTAGATTTATATTAGGTCTTTAATCTTTTGAACTTGAGTTTTGTGCATGGGGATAAATATGGATCTATTTTCATTCTTTGACATTTTGACATCCAGTTATGCCAGCACCATTTGTTGAAGATGCTTTCTTTTATCCATTGTATAATTTTAGCTTCTTTGTCAAAACTCAAGTGTTCATAGGTGTGTGGATTAATATCTGGGTCTTTGATTTGATTCCATTTCTCAAACTCACTGTTTTTATGATAATACCAAGCTGTTTTCATTACTGTAGCTCTGTAATCGAGCTTGATGTCATGGATGGTGATGCCTCCAGAAGTTACTTTATTGATTTGTCTATTCTGCATTTTTTATTTTTCCATATGAAGTTGATTATTGTTCTTTCAAAGTCTGTGAAGAATTGTGTTGGGATTTTAATAGGGATTGCACTGAATCTATAGATTGCTTTTGATAGGTTTGCTATTTTTATTATGTTGATCCTACCTATTCAAGAACATGGGAGATCAAAGACTTGTTGAATAGCTCTTTCATTACTTTGGTTAGTCTTACCTCAAGATATTTTATGTTATTTGTGGCTATTGCGAAAGGTGATGTTTTTCTGATTTCTTTCTCAGCTTCTTTATTCTTTGTGTATACAAGTGCTACTTTTTTTGGTTTTTATATTTGTTTGTTTGTTTGTTTGTTTTTTGAGTTGAACTTGTATTCTACCACATTACTGAAGGTATTTATCATCTGTAAGAGTTCCCTGGTAGAGTTTAGGGGGTCACTTATATATACCATAATATCATCTGCACATAATAATTTTTTCCTTTCTAATTTGAATTCCCTTGATATCCTTTTATTGTCTTATTGTTATAGCCAGAACTTCAAGAACTATGTTGAATAGATATGGAGAGAGTGAACAACCTTGTCTTTTTCTTGATTTTAGTGGAATTGCTTTAAGTTTCTCTCTACTTAATTTAATGTTGGCTGTCAGCTTGCTGTATATTCCTTTTATTATGTTTAGATATGTTCCTTGTATTCCTGATCTCTCCAAGACTTTTATCATGAAGGGATGTTGGATTTTGTTGAATGCTTTTCTAGCATCTAAGAAGATGGTCATATGTTTTTTTCTTTCAGTTTATTTATATGATGGATTACATTGATATATTTTCATATATTGAACCATTCCTGCATTTCTGGGATGAAGCTGACTTGATCATGGTGGATGATTTTTTTTAAAATGTGTTCTTGGATTTGGTTTGTCAATATTTCATTGAGTATTTTTGTAACTATGTTTATGAGTGAGATTGGTCTGTAATTCTCTTTCTAGGTTGAGTCTTTGTGTGGTTTCAGTATCAGGGTAACTGTAGACTCATAAAGAGTTTGGCAATGTTCCTTCTGTTTCTATTATGTGGATTACTTTGAAGAGTATAGATATTAACTCTTCTTGGATGTTCTGGTAGAATTCTGCATGAAAACCATCGGCTCTGGGCTATTTTTTTTTTAGGCTCTTTTGGTGACTGCTTCTATTTCCTTACATTTTATATGTCTATTTAAATTTTTTACCTGGTCTTGATTTAATTTTGATATATGGTATCTATCCAGAAAATTGTCCATTTCTTTTACAGGTTTCCAATTTCGTGGAGTACGGGTTTTTGTAGGATGGCCCAAACAAGTCTCAAGATTTTCTCAGTATCTGTTGTTAGTCTCCCTTTTCATTTCTGATTTTGTTAATTTGAATTTTCTCTCTCTGGCTTTTGATTACTTTATGTAAGGGTTTGTCTATCTTGTTGATTTTCTCAAAGAACCAGGTCTTTGACTCTTTGATTCTTTGTATTCTTTTCTTTGTTTCTATTTTATTGATTTCAGCCCTCAATTTGATTATTTTCTGTCTTCTACTCTTCCTGAGTGTGTCTGCTTCTTTTTGTTCTAGATCTTTCAGATGTGCTGCTGAGTGAGCTTTCTCCACTTTCTTTATGTGGGCACTTAGCACTTTCCTATTAGCACTGTTTTCATAGTGTCCCATAGGTTTGGGTAAGTCGTACCTCCGCTTTTATGGAATTCTAGGAAGTCTTTAATTTCTTTCTTTATTTCTTCCTTGACCCAGGGGTGATTCAATAGTTCACTGCTCAATTTCCATGAGTTTGTAGGCTTTCTGACAAAAGTGTTGTTGTTAGATTCTAACTTTAAACCATGATGATCCAAAAAGATACATGGGGTTACTCCAATTATTCTTTTGTAACTGTGAAGTTTTGCTTTGTTACCAAGTATGTGGTCAATTTTAGAGAAGGATCCATCAGACGCTGAGAAGAAGGTATGTGTTTAGGTGGAATGTTCTGCAGATGTCTGTTAAGTCCTTTTGAGCCATGACATCTGCTGGTTCTCTCATTTCTCTGAGAAATGAGAAACCAGTTCACTTTCTGTCTGGTTGGCCTCTCACGTGGTCCTTTCAGCAGGAAACTCTCTTGCTGGCTGGCTATATAAGCTAAGGCAGGTTGGGGAGAGGGGGTTTGCCCCACTATGGAGGGCCTAGAGAGTGGGGTGTTCTGCTGGGTGTCTGGTCATTCACATCTTGGTCCTGTCTGTATTGTAGCAAGCAGTATTTCAGAGTTCCATGGAGGTTACAGGAGGAGAGGGGAGCATGGTGACAGGGTGGGGCTAGTAGTCTATAGGATCCAGTGAATGGGAGTGGGGATTGGAGCAGACTACATGCAGGAAACTCTCCTGATGGCTGGCTAGAGAAGCAGAGGCAGTTGGAGGGGCTGGAGTTTCCCCCCACTATGGAGGTGCTAGAGGGTGGGGTGTCCCTCTGGGTGGCTGCTCACTCACCTATTGGTCCTTTCTGGATTGTATCAAGCAGCGTTTCAGAGGTCCACCAAGGCTGCTGGAGGATAGGTGAGCTCTTCTCATTTTTGGAAGAGACTGAGAAAATTTAGTACAGCTGTCTCTTTGAGTGCTTGCAAAATCCACCGACGAATTCAATGGCCTGGGTTCCTTTCTGTTAAAGTTTTTGATTACTGATTTAACCTCTAAGTCATCAGATGTTCACATTTTTCATTTCTTCTTGAAGGTACAGCTCTCTAGAATTTTATCCAGTTCTATCTTTATTCGGCTTATTTACTCTGCTGCTATATAATTATTTATGGTAGTCTCTTAGGAACTTCTAAACAGTCTGCCATCTGGTAAACATGGTTTGAGGCTAAGAAGCTTAGAAATAAAATTTCACCACTAAATTTTTTTAATTTACACTTGTTTGCTGTTAGGTCTCTGTGTTCATGAAAGGTACCCGCTTATACCACGTCTTTCTTTTTTCTCACCCTGTAGGATTACAACCACCGCAGCGTGCATGATGGATCTTCGAAGGTACCCTTTGGATGAGCAAAACTGCACCCTGGAGATTGAAAGTTGTAAGTTACTTGCTTAGGGGATGAGAAAGAGGGATGTTGGCTTGACCCAATTAAAGTCAACCTTCCTTTGAGTTAATTGGCACTAAGATATTTTTAGCTGTCACCTTTTCAAGTGTTCACAATCAGTGGAATTTTCCTCATATTGGTGGTCATAGGATCATTTCAGTGGCATTATCTTTTGGATATTAAGGAAAGTTCACTTACTGTAATTCATAAATTTATAACTCATGCTTTCTTCATCTTCCCTCATAAGCTTCTAATATCCAAGCTTCATTAGGCTAAAAAATATTACCTTACCTGTTAACCTAGAAGACTGTGAATGGTCATTTAGAAATACACTATGGTACAGTGTTGTGTGGATGGTGTGTTTTTTACTATTGAAAAATATACAAGAATAAATGGCACCTCAGTGGGCTTATGCTTTAGATCAGATAGTTCATGTTTTTCACGTCTGTGGGCTGATTTTGGTCTGTGCTCTAAGGCTGTTTTTCATTGATTATTGCATTAACAATATGAACATTTCCATCCCTAAGCTCTAACCTGACAAGCTACCACCCTTGTGTCATCGTTTCTCAGCCATTAACCTACAGGCCCTTGAGTCCATTGATTCTGAAAACGCCATCTATTTGTTTTGAGAGTTACAAAAAGATGCAGGAGTTAACTCTGTAACTTACTGAAATGTGAAAAGTCAGCAGGTGTGTATTTTTGGAGTCTGAAGTACTTTCTAGAGCTAAATGTCAAGAAGGAAAGGGAAATGAAAACCTTCTAGCCGACCTTACAGTATTATTGAAAAATAAATGTGTTTCTCTACTGCGCTGTTAAGCAACTACATAAACTTACAAGTCTCATTGTACATAAATAAAACTGATCTTATGGAGGCACTAAATTTAGATATAGCCATCATCCCACTACCAATGAAATAAATAAGAAAATTCAGAAACGCTCTTCAATTTTTTTTATTTTAAAGGTCATAAAGAACATGGTAAATATTAAAGGATATTATTTATTAAAGAGTTAGCAGTGACTTGATTTAAATGACAAAATTGGAAACATAACCATGATCGTTAATTAACGACTGATAATAGTTTATAAATAAAACAGAGCTTTTGCTCAGCAGGTAAATCATTACCTTTGAAACTGGAGTAGAAAAAGAGGGACAGCTGATGGGCTGATGACAGATAATGGGTTAGCGTTTACCTTTGACTATTTGCCCATTGATTTTGTGATTTTTCTTAAACATTGGCTTCCTTTGGAAAGTTTTGTAATCTGAAACTGTCTTAACATTCTAAGATCCTTGGTTTTCATTGTTCAGTTAAAGGGCAATGAATTTTGCAAAGTATTTTAAACAATTCTGTACTAAGAATTAGAAGCATATTCTCCCCAAATTCACATTTTTTTTACAATGTACAGTGAGTTTTCCTACAGTTTCGTAGTGTGTTGTAGAATGACATTTTTTCTTAAGATGATAAATTTCTTTATACTAGAAAGTATATAACCTTTCAATCCACTCATCACACTATGTAATGATCACAACAAAGCACACAGCAGATATTAAATATTGCCTTAAAAGGCTCTATGGAGGCAGAAACATGATAGAAATTAAAAACCAAACAAGAACTATGGACCCACTGCCGTCTATGTGTTAAACTAACAGCACAGTAGCATGTGACACCATGTGATAAATGCATTTTGACAACCTCTCAGAGGTACAGTATCTTGGATACTAAGATAAGCAAAGGCAAGAATTACGGATCGATGGGGAGCCAAGCCTAGTTATGTTTCCAAGCCCAGTTCTACTCCACCACAGACCTCTGCAATCAACAGATGAGGACGGGAGCGGAGACTCCATGACTAGTGTGGCAGCAGCTCTCTGCAGGGCCAGGAATCCTATATTACAAAAAACAGGTCTAAATCTCCCAATCTCTCTGCTACAGGTCAGAACCGATCCTAGAAGCTGAAGCAGAATTCAGCTCCTAGGTCAAGTGCCTAATATTTACAGTTGAAAGGGAGGGTATTTTGTAGATTCAGCAAACCAAGCAGGCCTTGATTCCTTAGGGGAAAAAAAAATATGTTTATGCACATACTTACCCAGAAGTCTCGGTGTTACTTAGCTCAGTGTATTTAAAATATTTTTCATCTTAGCAATTGACTAACTGATATAATGAAATGTAATCTTAAGAATAAAATCTTAACAATAAAAAACTATTATGTGGTGCAGAAAAATATGCCAAAAATAATTGAGTCGATATTTACTTGCTGGCACTTGCTTGCTTTGCTTTTTTTTTCCTAGATAAATATAAAATCAACTGGTTATTCCTTCATATTTTTTAACACTCCATAACTAAATGTGTAATTTCATGAAATAGATTATCCTCAGCTGACAATGTATTGGGCTACAGCTCAGCTTTACTGGACCTAGTATCAGTTAGATTACAAGAAGGATAAAATAGACATTACTCAAAACAAGGCTGAGCCAATCAAACCTTTCTGTGACCAACTGAGTGGAAACATTGCCTACATTACAGAATTTACTAGTTCGTATGTGTATCTCATTAAGACTGGGAAAATGTTTTCCGTGGGTAAGTCCTTTGAGACAAATTAAAGACATTTTGCTTATTTTTAATGCCATCTAATCAACTAAAATTGCAAAGGCCATATAGTCTTGTTAAACTGAAAATTTACTTGAATTTGGAGCCGAGTAATGGCTTGATAGCCTCAGGATGCCATAAAACGAAGCAATGGCATATATAAAAAAAAATCAATCAAAGAATTTAGTATAACGAGGATTTGGAATTCAAAATCAATAAAGCTATCATATGAAGGCTGGATAACTACAGGCCTTGCGGAAATACATGTAGGTCTTTGGATAAAAATCATGGACAAATACTTGGATGGCTTTTCCCACTTTCTTTAGCAAGATTAAGGAAAATCTTTCACCTCTCCCTCTCACTTTCAACATAATGTGTCACCTCTTATGACATTCAAAGAAGTAGAAGCCAATTTCTAGTCTAAAATCTGTGTGGTCACCACGTTCAACCCTTCATATTCTTCCCCATCCTGAGCAACACCTGTTTTGGGTGGGAACACACGAAGAAATGTCTGTTCTCCTTACAAAGGGCAGACCAAAGAAATGAGTCCACCCACATCTAGCTTGCTGAACTAAGTATTTTGGGGTTACTTAGAGTGAGTCTTAGGGAACTGACTAATGAAAAGCATACCCCAGAATGGATAACAATTCATGAAACCTGAATCAGTGGAGCTCCCTATACAACTTGTAGACAGTTCTGATGGCTAAAAAGTCCCCTCCTGACTAGTGATTGCCTAGTGCTTTCATAACCTGTGTAAGGGTATTGCCTGACTTTTCCTGGAAAGATGTAAGCAGTATCTATTCATTCTAGATAGAGCACCAGTGGCAGACCAAAGAAACAAGTCCATCCAAATCCAGTGTAAAGATTCGGTGACTTGATTGAAGATACTTATAGAGGTTATTTATGTGTGCGGATTAAATTACAGATCATCACTGAGAAGCCCACCCCAGCACGAGTGATGACTCACAAGAGCAAGCAGCCCTGGAGCCTTCTGTATGATCATTTTTAGGCAGCACAGCTGTTCAGTGCCACATCTCAGCATTCGTTAATGCTTACGTAAACGTGGGAAGGGTCCTTGTCAATCTTGTAGTTGTCACACTTGGCTGAGACTTGTGAATTTAGTTTACATCCCGAGCTTTGTAGGTTTTGTTTCCTTTCTGAATATTAAAGAGTCTCCCTCCAAGATGGAATGTTTCAATTCAAAGAAGCCCTGGTCCTTTCAAAATGCTGTAATTGGTGACTATTGTTGTTGTTGTTGGTGGTGGTGGTGATGATGATGATGATGATGATGATGATGTGTTCTAAATGTTTGCATTTCCCTAAATTCATATTGGAACCTACTCATCAGAGTGTTGTAATGATAAAGTTGGGCTGGGGAGTGAAGCTCTCTTTAATGGAGGTATTGCCTAGAGTCACCTCGTCCCTTCCACTAACTATATTAGATCACAGCCAGAAGATACCATCTATAAAAGAGAAAATAGACCCTCACCAGACACCAAGAGTTTAATCTATACCTTCATTTTGTACCTCCCCCAGGACAGAACTGTCAAAACTTTGAGATATTAATCTCTGCTGCTTATAAGTTGCATAGTTTGTTCTACTAGCTTTAGCATTTCCACTTACCCAAAGGGCTAAAATAAGAATGTAACACCTAGAAGTACTTCTTTGTTTCCAAGCTTACTGATTCTTTACCATGCTGATTATAAAGTAAGAGGAGAGGCTTCATTGCATGGTCACGATTCACTCATTAAAACCAAGGCTAATTTCCGGTAAGAAATATGTGGGAGATAATATATGCTATAAGTAATCCTTCCAGACTTTGTTGAGTTGCTTTAATTTTCAAAAATAAGAATAGTTTTAACTTCTCAGATAAGAGTTAAAGCACAGCTTTGAACGTGCAATCCAGCTTCTTTCCTTTGTATAATTTCATTTTTGTGTCTTAGACTACCTCAAAAATGATTATAAAGGTGTCACTCAATAGCAAGATGAAGAAAGCCTAGTGCTTTAATGCCTTTAAAAATAAATGTGGCTGGGCAGTGGTGTCATACACCTTTAATCCCAGCATGCAGGAGACAGAGGCAGATGGATCTCTGTGAGTTTGAGGTCAGCCTGATCTATAGAACAAGTTCCAGGACAGGCTCCAAAGCTACACAGAGAAACCCTGTCTCAAACAAACCAATAAATAAGTAAACAAACAAACAAATAACCATTATGAACCCATGAGTTTGCTTTATCATAATCCACAAACTGTCTACACATCTCCTATATAAAGTGCCAAGAAGTCATTAAGCAATAGGAAAGTTTGGTGATACCTGGCTATTTTCTTGGGAGTATATAATAAAACACTCTCTCCATGAACTAAATTTAATGGACCATCCACTAGGTCTGTTAGTCTTAAAGTACTACCATTCT